TAACCATTATCCTGCCTTTTATGGCAACTACTTCATAATCATGAGCATTTTATATTGTTCCAGATACCTTTTTGGCAGCGATTACTCATTGCTTACCTCATTGAATCCATCCTTCTTTTCTGAGGCACACAGTTACGCTACATGGCTCAGTCTTGTTTCAGTCAGGTTTGACCAAGTGGCCAGGTGCCTGTCAGTGAGTTGTGAACTCAAATGGGTGTCATTTCCAGGTGAGGCTCCAAGATAGCTTGCCTGCTTCTCTGGCCTCTTTGCTTCCCACCAGTTGGAGCCGAAATGATTCTTCTCCCACCCTGCAAATAAGAGTGTCCTAGAGATTGTGGAACAACATGCTAGAAGGATGCTGGGCCCCTGAGTGACTTCAAAAATAGCTATACAACCTATTGAGACCATTGACCTCAGAACATGAGAGAAAAATAAACTTTTTCTTTTCTTTTTCTGTTTTTGGAGACAGGGTCTTGCTCTGTCACCCAGGCTGGAATTCATAGGTCATTACAGTCTCAACCTCCCAGGTTCAAGCAATCCTCTCACCTCAGCCTCCTGAGCAGCTGGGACTTCAGGCAGTTGCCACCATGTCTGGCTGATTTTTTATTTGTTTTGTGGAGACAAGGTCTTGCTATGTTGCCCAGGCTGGTCTCCAACTCCTGGGCTTACACGATTCTCCTGTGTCTCAAAGTACTGGTATTGCAGGCATGAGCCACAGTACCTGGCCTACTATTTTTTAGTGTTACAAATTTTTTCCTCAACATTTTTAGGGAGTCTCTTTGTAATACATTAGGAAGGGTTTTTGTTTTTAAACAAAAACTAAAGTCGGTAATTCCTCACAATTTTCTTTTCTTTCTTTCTTTTTTTTTTTGAGACAGAGTGATGGAGTCTTGCTCTTTCACCCAACCTGGAGTGCAGTGGTGCAATCTCAGCTCACTCCAACCTCCCCCTCCTGGGTTCAAGGGATTCTCTTGCCTCAGCCTCCTGAGTAGCCTGGATTACAGGTCCCTGCCACCATACCTGGCTAATTTTTGTATTTTTAGTAGAGACAGGGTTTCAGCATATTGGTTAGGTTGGTCTCAAACTCCTGACCTCAAGTGATCCACCTGCCTCGGCCTCCCAAAGACATTTTTTAAAATATATACTTATATAGATGTATACATACAACATTTTAATATAAAATTGTGAGAAGGTTGAAGTTCTTTTTTGCTTGTTGAACCCTCTCCCTTTTTGTTAACCTATGTTAACAACTTAGTATGTGCCTTTTATGTTTTTGTTAATTTCTTTCTGTGATTATAATTTCTGTGACTGGACAGTCATGCACTGCATAATGAATGAAGTTTTGGTCAATGACAGACTGAATATATGTTGGTGGTCCCATAAGATTGTAATGGATCTGAAAAATTCCTGTCTCCTAGTGATAATCGTAGCTGTCCTGTTATTATAGCACAACGCTTTATTTTTTCCCCAAGACAGAGTTTCACTCTTGTCACCCAGGCTGGAGTGCAGTGGCCTGATCCCAGCTCACTGCAACCTCCTGCTCCTAGCTTCGAGGGATTCTCCTGCCTCAGCCTTCTGAGTAGCCAGGATTGTAGGCGCCCATCACCATGCCCGGCTCATTTTTGTGTTTTTAGTAGAGATAGGGTTTCACCATGTTGGCCAGGCTGGTCTTGAACTCCTGACCTCAGGTGATCCACCTGCCTCAGCCTCCCAAAGTACTGAGATTGCAAGCATGAGCCACTATGCCCAGGCACATTACATTTTTACTGTGATGTTGGCATAAACCTGCTGCACTGCCTGGTATATAAAAGTATTGTACTCTGTATATAGTGTATAGCTATGTCATACAGTCAACTTGCACAAACCTAGGTGGCATAGCCTACTACACTATACTATGTATAATTGTATATACATAGTATTGTACTTTTACACACCTGGCACATACTATGTATATACATAGTGCCAGGTGTGTATAAGTACAGTACTATGTATATACAATTACGTGTAATACATAGTACTTGATAACAAATGACTGTTACTGGTTTATATATTTACAATACTATATATGCTTTTTGTCATTATTTTAGAGTGTATTCCTACTTATGAAAAAAATAGTTAATTGTAAAACAGCCCCAGGCAGGTCCTCCAGGAGGTATCCAGAAGAAGGTACTGTTATCATAGGAAGTGACAGCTCCATATGTGTTCATTGCCTCTGAAGACCTTCCGGAGGGATAAGATATGGAAGTGAATGACAGTAATACTAATGCTCTTTACCCTGTGTAGGCCTAGGCTAATGTGTGTGTTTGTCTTAGCTTTAAACAAGAAAGTTTAAAAAGTTTTTTTAAAAGTTAAATATCTTAATAATAGAGAAAAGGTTATGGAATCAAGATAAAAAGAAAAAATATTCTTGTTCAGCTATACAGTGTGTTTTGTCTTAAGCTAAATGTTATAAAAGAGTTCAAAAGTTTAAAAAATTTAAAAATGTATAAAGTAAAAAATGTTAAAGTACACTGAGGTTAATTTATTACTGAAAAAAGAAAATCTTTAAAAATAAATGTAGCGTGTCCTAAGTGTATAGTGTTTATGAAGTCTACATAGTGTACAGTAATGCACTAGAGCTTCACATTCACTCTCCACTCACTGACTCACCCAGAGCAACTTCCGCTCCTGCAAGCTCCGTTTATGGTAAGTGCCCTATATAAGTACCATTTAAAAAATCTTTTATACTGTGCTCACTTCAGCAGCACATATACTAAAATCGGAACGACATAGAGAAGATTAGTATGGCCCCTGCGCAAGGATGACACAAAAGTTCGTGAAGCGTTCCATATTTAAAAAAAAAAAAATCTTTTATACTGTATTTTTACCTATATTTAGATACACAAATACTTACCATTGTGTTACAGTTGCCTACAGTGTTCAGTACAGTAGCATGCTGTACAGGTTTGTAGCCTAGGAGCTGTAGGCTAGACCATACAGCCTAGGAGTATAGTAGACTGTACCATCTAGGTTCATGTAAGTTCACGATATGACAGCAGTCCCCAACCTTTTTGGCACCAGGGATTGTTTCATGGAAGACAATTTTTCCATGGGATGGGGTCAGGGTATGGTTTTGGGATGAAACTGTTCCACCTCAGATCATCAGGCATTAGATTCTCATGAGGAGCTTGCAACCTAGATTCCTTGTAGGGTTCATGCTCCTTTGATAATCTAATGCTGCTGCTGATCTGGCAGAAGGCAGAGCTCAGGTGGTAATGCTTACCCACCTGCTGCTCACGTCTTGCTATGTTGCCTGGTTCCTAATAGACTACAGACAGGTACTAGTCCTCAGCTCAGGGGTCTGTGAGGTTTGCATAACAATGAAATCGCCTAATGATGCATTTTTCAGAACATACCCCCGCATGACTGTAATTCTAGCTTGTGTATATCTGTGCCAACCTGACCACCTTCGTCAGGTGGCATTGGCTGAGGCATTTTTTGCAACGTATCACATTTCAGCTTCCCCAGGTTCGGTTCTTCTGATCTCCAAGGTCACTCCTCAGTAAACTCTGCTGACAAATCTCAGTCTCAGGGAACCTGATCTGCTGCAGTTGGTGGCAGGAGTGGTCTGAGAAAGTAGACATGTGAGTTTGGAGTTTGGTTTCCCTCAGGTAAGCTGGCACTGATGACCTCATCACAAGTTGTGAGTGGAATACAAATATGGCTCAAGGTGGATTTGGCTTACCAATGGGAGCAACTGCACCAGCTTGTGGGGGAGACAATGGAACTAAATGGCCGTGGCTGGGAATAATAGATCCTTTGGAAAAATAGTAACAACAAAAAAAAGGCTGGGGGCAATAAGCAATTAAGGCTAAACTTGAAAGCCAGAGGGCTTCCTGGGCAGCCTGTAAAGAGACAGCCTGTAGCCATAGACCCAAGACTTAGTCCTGCTTAGTCCTGATTACGCCAGAGAAACTTGAATTTTCAGCCCTGGTGGTGTGCTGTTGTTTTGTTTTGGTTTGTTTTGTTTAGTTTTTAAAGACACCTAGGCTGGAGTGCAGTGACTCATTTTAATCTCTGCCTCTGGGGCTCAGGTGATTCTCCAGAGTAGCTGGGACTACAGGCACACACCACCACACCAGGCTAGTGTTTTGTTTTCAATTTTTAGTAGAGATGGAGTTTCGCCATGTTGCCCAGTCTGGTCTTGAATCCCTGGGCTCAAGAAGCTTATCTTGGCCCACCAAAGTGTTGGGACTATAGGCATGAGCCACCCCTGCCTGGCCAAGATTAAGGTCTTGATCTGAGAAAAGAGGGACCAGACCCTGAGATACAGGATGGGAACCTTTGGATTGGTATATTTAAAACTTGATTGAGACACCACAGGGAGAAGAAAAAAAGAACTTCAGGATCAGATCATCTTGGTCAACATGGCAAAAACCTGTAACTGTAAAATATCAGACAGATCTCAGTCCATTTAGAAAGTTTATTTTGCGCAAGTTAAGGACACACCTATGACACAGCCTTAGGATGCCCTGAGACATGTGCCCAAGGTGGTTGGGGGTAGGTGGCTTTTTTAAATTTTAGGAAGACATGAGATATCAATATGTGTAAGATGTAACTGATTTGGTTTGGTAAGGCAGGACAACTCGAAGTGGGGACTTCCAGATTACAAGTAGATAAAGAGTGGCCAGGCAGGATGACTCACGCCTGTAATCCCAGCATTTTGGGAGGCCAAACCGAGTGGATCCCCTGAGGTCAGGAGTTCAAGACCAGCCTGGCCAACATGGTGAAACCCTGTCTCTACTAAAAATCAAAAATTAGCCGGGCATGGTGGCAGGTACCTGTAATCCCAGCTACTCAGGAGGCTGAGGCAGGAGAATTGCTTGAACTGGGAGGCAGAGGTTGCAGTGAGCCAAGATTGGATCACTGCACTCCAGCCTGGAGGATACAATGAGACTCTGCTTCTTGGTTTTTTTTTTTTTTTTTTTTTACTGCTTTTGAAGAGACTGTTTCAAAAGAGACTTTCAAAAACAAAAGGTAGATAAGAGACAAAAGGTTTCATTCTTTTGAGTTCTTGATCAGCCTTCCACTGAATACACAATTTAGTGAATCTGTTTTTACAGAAGCAATAGGGGAGAGAAAGTCAGATACACATCTGTCTCAGGTGAACCTCAGAGGGATAGAATTTGACTTTGAATAGAATGGGAGGCAGGTTTGCCCTAAGCAGTTTCCACCTTGACGTTTCCCTTTACCTTAGTGACTTGGAGTTCCCAAGATTTATTTTCCTTTCACAGCCATCTCTACAAATAAATTAGTGGGGCATGATGGACTGTTTGGGTGGCTGTAATCCTAAGTATTTGGTTGCCTGAGGAAGGGTGATTGTCATTTGAGTTTGTGAGGTGGAGGTTGCAAGGAGCTGAGATTATGCCACTGCACTCCAGCCTGGGTAACAGAGTGAGACCCTGTTTCAAAAAAATATAATACATTTTATTTAAAACATAAATCTTGAGTATTGGATACCTCTGAGACCTGCAGAAATGGCCCCACTCTGAGCGCTTCCCCCAACCTTTGCTTGAAAACAATGCAGAGCTTCTGTCTTGAAAAATAAGACATGCTCCCTTATTATTTTGTAATACTTTAGGAAAAGTTTTTAGGGTGGTGAGGGGGGAACAGAAAAAACAAACAAACTTCATAATTCCCCACATCTTTTTGTATAGTTATACATATGTCATTTTATATGAAATTGTGAAGAGATTCATAAATGTATTCTTCAGACTTTTTCTTTTTTGCTGTCACCTCCTCTCCTGGTCATTAAGTCACGAAATAACCCAGCCGAAAAGTATTGGACCTGTTACAGAAGTGTATGAGATAGTCCAGTCAGGGGACAGAAACCATCGAGTAATTTGAACAGGGAATGTTTAAGGCATTAATAACTAGCAGGATTAGCTACCAAGGAATAAAGCAATAGCAGACACAGGGAGCAGCTTCCTCGCCTAGGGCTAAAGTGAGGTGCTGAAGGAAGGGACAAATTTAGTAGAATTACTCCCCTCAAGACAGATTCAGATTGTCAGGGGGTATGGATATAGCCAAGAAGTTGGCTAAAGTGCCCCATCAGTCTGGCAAGTGGGAACCCACCTATGGGGTATCACTGAACTCACTGAGAAGTTGGCAGGGGTGCCCATGAAACTCGGTAGGAAGCTGCCCACAGGGATTGACTGAAACTTGCTGAAAAGCTGGCTAGAATGTCTGCGGAAGTAGCTGGGGAGTGGCCAGAGGGGCTGCTCCTGGGTGTCTAGTACACTAGCTAGGAGCTGCAGGAGCGAGAAGAAAGAGAAGCACACTAACCAGAGGCCCCTTCTCTGGCAGTATCCATCTAGCACCCTCTGCTGACAGTGCTAAAAATTGTGCCAGGTGGCAAAGGAGGTGTATTTTCAGTAGTGCATGCTGTGTGACGAGGGGTGAAGTTGTAGCTGAGAAGCAGTATGTTGATAACTGGCACAGGGACGAAAGAGATTCTACTCCAAAGGAACTATAGGATCTAACAGGCCATATACAAGCAGGCCTGGGAGAGTACCTATGGGTGGGCTGGGTCTAAGGGTGCTGGATCAAGGCAGGTGGAACTAAGGTTGGATAAGGGAGAGTTTATTGATGTGGGATCACTTCAGAGACACTAGATTTGAGCATCCAATGAAGATTCTAAGTGATGGTGCTAACATACCACCGGGATGACTCTTAGTTCCTTGTAGGAGAGGGTTCACACTAAGTAGAAACGTTAGAACTGCCAGGGCAGATGGTAAAAGAAGGCATAGAAAGCCAGGAGAGGTGACCATGCTAGGATGGCCATATTGTGGAGGGCTGGGAAACTCAGCAGGTAACAATGTTCTGCAGAAGGGCACTCTGGGTGCTGTATTTACCAAAGCAATCATGAGTGTGCTGATGAGGGAGTGGGCAGCATCAGCTTCACTGACAGTCTCAGTGGTGTCCTCTGTGGACCAGGGCTGATGATAGGAGATGCCTCCTGATAACAGGGAGGGAGATAGGATCCTGACATAGAGGCCAGGTGGTGGTGCCTGTCAGAAGCAGGGTAGGCATAGTTCTCATAAAGTGACTTGAGACCTGGAACTGACTGACTGAAGGAAAGCCCAGGTCCCCAGGAAGAAGGACTGTGCAAGTGTATATGGCAGTTTTTCCTCCTGTCTTTCCCCCAGGGGAACCTGTGGCCATTTACTCTGGGAACTTATACATGGGGGGAGGGGAAATACTGAAACATTCCTATGATATTGATACCTGGAGACCTAGAGTATCACCATAGTTCCTCTGTTGGAGGCATGAGGACTCAAGCAATAAATGGAATCTTGACCCAAATTACATCATAATGGGAGGGCTCACTCCAAAGCCATTTTTCAAGTCCCCAAATGTTATTTGGAATGAACAGACTATTAGAAGAACCCTCAGATACTGGTTCCTTGGCCTGAGGATAAGAGCTCCCATAGTGAGTAAGCTAAAGTGGATAACGCTGAAACTGCCTTCCCAGCAAAGATAGTGAATTATAGCAATATAGCAACCTAGGAGAAATGGCAGAAGTTAGTGCCATCTTTAAACACAGGATTCAGGGCACAGGGTGGTCCCTGTCATATATTCACTTAATTAGGTGCCTACAGAAGTCAGATCCTACAGAATAACAATTGACACCACAAATAGTTATGACCAAGTTATAGCCCTAATGACAGCTGCTGGGCTGGATATGGCATATGCAATTAACAAGGCCTCAGGTATATGAAATGCAGTTATCAATTTGGTGAACATATTCTTTGCCATCCCTGCAGAAGTATTCACTCTGAATGGACAATATAAATTTGCACCTTGCCCCAGGGCTATGTTATCCAGCCACCCACTGTTTTGATGCCATCATGCCAATCAGACAGCATAAGCAAGAAATGGCAAGTTTGTTAGATGTCTTGCTGTCCAACACATGGGAGATAAACTCACAGATATTCTGGGCCCCACCACAACCATGAAGTTTTTGGAAGTTCCGGTGGTCTGGGGGTATGTAGGATGACCGCTTGCAAGTAAAGGACAAGTTAGTGCCTTTTTTTTTTTTTAAAGAGACTATCTCACTGTGTTGTCCAGGCTAGCCTCAAGCTCTTGGGGGCAAAGTGATCTGCTTCAATCTCCTGAGTAGCTGGAGCTACAAGTGCACACCTGGCTAAATTACTGCATTTTTAAGAATGACGATGCCAACTGGCAAAATCATCCTGCAACGTGGTTAATCACATTGACGGTTAAGAATGAAGCATGACACCTGATAGGCATCTCTGGGTTTGGGGAGTGGAGGCAGCATATTCCACATTTGGGAATACTGACTGCATAGGAAAGCATCCTGTAAGAGGCCTAGGCTGTGAAGCAAGTGGCCCAGGTACTTAGACTTCTAGCCCAATGGACCTTGTGATGTTAGAGGCATCTGTAGTGGGAAAAGATGCAGTGTGAAGCTCAAGGCAAACTCCTAGAACTCTGGACCACGGCAATGCCATCTGCAGAAAATTATAAATAAACAAAGCTGTCATGCTACTGGCCCCTGTAGAGATGGAGCATGAGGCCATGGTGATATCAAGTGACCATGAGCCAGAACTGCCAGCATGAGCTGGTCCTGTCAGACCCACCAAGAGGTAAGTGTGCAGCTGTTCATTGCAAGTTGGAAGTGGCCCATTTAGTATTACCTACAAGCAGGCACAAACAACCAAGCTTCTTGTGTGGCCCACAGCCCATGACATCATCGGTGCTGGCACTGGTACTTCTAAAGGGGCAGCCTGAAGACCAGCTGGTGGAGGCAGGAAAGTTCGAGCTTGGTTCATGGTGAGTAGGCTCTGAACAGCCTGATTTAAGCAGCCCTGGAAGACAGTGCTCAGGGAAAACCCAATAGGTAGAACTTTGGGTGGTACCCTTGACTACCTACTTCATGTGGAAGGAGTAGTGGCCCCAATGTTAACACATTTGGAACTCTTGGGCAATGGTTAGTGGCTTGACAGGTTGCTCAGGTACCTGCAATAAGGAAGATGGGAAGATGAGGGACTTCCTGGAGTAAGGCATGTGGAGGGATCTTTGGCAACATGAAGTACCTCCCACCCAAGAACATTTACCATGAGGACATGCCAAACCACATTCATGGGATGGCTTGACCAATTGACATTACTAGCCTCTGCCATCTCCTGTGCCCGTCCTGGCACACTGGGCTCTCTCATGGAGTAACCATGGGGTGGGTAGAGGCTGTGCGTGGCCCATAGCATGGTGCTCTCCCTTACCAGAGCTCACCTAGCTATTTCTCTGCCGAACATCCTGTCTTCCAACAACAAAGACCAAACACTGAGTCCCCAGTTGCAGCTTCCTTGGAGGGAAACAGTCATTTGACAACATTGAACCCCTTATGCCGTAGAAGGTACAGTGATTCATCTTGGCTGGAACCAACACGTGTTACAGGCATGGGTGTGCCTTTCCCATTCTCATGGATTCAGTCAGCTCCATCATCCGAGTTTCACAGAGCGTTTGATCCACAGGATCCTGCACATGGCCAAGGAACTACGCCAGTGGGCACTGGGAGGGGGAGCCACTGGCTGCCTCACAGCTGCACACCAAGAAGCTGCCAACCTGATGGAACAGCAGGATGGTCTGTGGAAGGCCCAGCTCACCTCATATGTAGCCTGGAGGTGACACCTGCGATGAAGCAGTCACCTCTGGGGTGTAGTCTGCACTGCAGATCACTGACCACTACGTGGTGCAGTGTCCTCGGTTTGTGTAATAAATGGGCCTGGGAACAAAAATGTGAAAGTCATCACTCCCAGTGACCCACTTAGAAATCTGTATTTCTACCCCACATGCCTCTGGGTTCTTAAGGTTTAAAGGTCTTGACTCTCAAAGGGAAAACCTTTGCAGCAGGGGCACAGGAAGAATGCCACTTAATTTCCAGCTGTGGCTGCTGCCTGGTCATTTCGAGCTCCTTGTGCCAAGAAACTGGCTGGCAAGGAATGTAACTTCCATCTTCTAGGGTGACTGACCGTGGGCACCAGGAGGAGGTAGAGCTGCTACTACATAACTGGGGGCAGGGGAAGCACCCAGGTAATGTGGTTGGCCACCTCATGGTCTCCTGCCCACATTTGATGGCAAATGCAGGACCTATGGCCAGAGAAGGGCATGGTGGCCCAGGGTTTACCTCTCAGGGATGAGAGTTTGGGTTATCTGATCAGGTAAGCTAAGCTACATAGATCAGTAGGGGAGATAGGCAAGGGTGAGGAGACCCTAGCATGGGCAGTAGAGGAAGGAGATGAATGAAATTTGCAACCTCGAAGCCAGCTGCAGCAACAAGATGTAGTTTTATCCCAGTACCTTCCTTTTATAAATTTCCCCAGGAAAAGGCCCACCAGAATCCTGCCAGACTGCACCCAGAATGTCTCTGAAGCAAGTGGCCATGAGCAGCGCAGTGTGGACTGTAGTAAGCGCTGTGGCAGCCATATTCCCCCTTTAGTACTGAAGCACTGTCCCTGCTCCTGGGACAACCCCTCCCCTTGATTGCCTGGCTACAAAGAGCTTCTTTGCCCATGGGCCCACCACTTCCCCAGGAATGACTGGTCCAGTGACTAGTTTGTGCTGGGGTATAAAAGCCCAGCTCCCTTGCCCCAGTGGGAGACACCTCTGCAGGACCATGCTCTGCCCAGGGCAGGCCTTTGAGTGGCTACATCCTAACCATTGTCGTCCTTGGTTGGGTTCTGCTTCCTTCACTCTCCAATCACCTTTTCAAATGCAAGCCTTCATCACAGAAGTGGTCTCCCAGGGGACCCAACCTGTGCCAGTGTATGTGCCTAACATCTTCATGTGCATAAATGGGGAGATTTGGTCATTATTTCTTAAAATGAGGTCATCGCCTTCAGCCAACCTATAATTGGGAGTCATTTTCCCCCCCAGCAATCTATGTTTTAACAAGGTCATTCTTTTTAGTGGATAGTGTGTAATTTATTTCTCAGTTTTCTTCTGATTGGTATCTATTTTCAGTCCTTTGTCGTAATGGACAAAGGTCTGAAACGTTTTGATTTAAACCTGTTTACTGTTGGATATATTTCTGCGAAACAGCTAAGAGTGAGATTGTTTGGTTAGAGATTATTTGGTTAAGATGATTGATATTATTTTCGATCTGTTTTTGTTGAGGCGAGAGCACTCTCTCATATATGTATGACTGAGATGCATATATAAATGTATAACAACACACATACCCTAAGTTAAGTGTTTAGGTCAAAATTTCACAAACCTACATCCAGTTCAAGAAACATCGCTAGCATTCCCAGAGGCCTATCTTGAGCTCCCTGTGAGTCACTTTCTCCTCCCAACTCCCAAGAGTGATGTATGTATTGTTAATTTTAATAAGTCTTGACAGTTTGCCTTCTAGAAAGATTCTAACTATCTACATTTTTACCAGCAATGCATGAGACTATCTCTTTCCCTCTGTTTCCAGTTATAGTTAATTTGCATTTCCCTGAATATCGTATTTGTTTCCTGTTTGGATTTTCTATTTTGTGTATTGCTTCTTCCTATCCTTTGCTTCTTTTTCTGTTGAGTTGTTTGTCTTACCTTGTAAATGTATAAGAATTTGTTGCATAATATAGCAATTAACCCTTAGTCACTCTGGTTCCAAATAGTTTTCCCAACGCATTTCTTTTCTTTTTGATGTGGTGCTAGTTGTACCAGCCCTATTAATTAATATGTCCTTTTCTATTGAATTGAAATACTATCTTTGTTATATGTAGTCTTGGGATCAGTCTCTGGGTTGTCTGTTCTGTTCTAGAGGTCTTTTCTCTCTCTTTTTTTAAAACTTACATTTCTTGTCTCTTTTTACTTTGAAATTGTTTCATTAAATTAAAATATCCCTGTAGGGTCTCCAATTGGAATTGTCTTAAATTTGGAAGAATTAAACATTTTGTGATATATATCCTAATGCTATGTCTTCTCATTTTACAGATCTTGTTTTATGCCATTTAATAAAATTTTATGTTTTCATCGTTAAGGGCCTTGTATCTTTTCTGTTATATTTATCCTAAGTGTAATGTTTTTATATTGTAAGTGAAATACTTTCCCCCGTTTGCATTTCTAGGTTGTTATTGTTCCTGCAGGGGAAATGTATGTCACAGTGGTTAAGAGTACAGACTCCCAAATCATACTGCCTGGGGTTGAATCCTGGTTCTGTCACTTACTGTTCAGCCCAGGCTTATTAAAATTAAAACAAAATCTAAGTTAGAAGTTTATATTAATGATGTTTTACTGAAACTTTAATTGTTCCACTGCAGTATTCAAAGAATCTCCCTAAACCTTTAATACTTTTAAGGTTTCTATAAATGTTGACCTTAGGTTTTTAGAGTTATGTATTCAAATGCAAATGCCAAATAATGATTTTTAATAAACATTTTATGATTATATAGATCTGCAGTTAACTTGGTACTTTACGTAAATATTTATTGCAATGATACTAAGCATTTTAATTGTGAATTTTATTACATTGTTTTAATTAAGTTAATAATGAGTTAATAAGCATGATTATAGAGGATATTTCAGTGTTTAGTTAACTGTATGACCTTGATTTCAATGTTTCTTTAATGCCCCATGTTTGTTTTTTGTTGTTTTAAAAGCTATGGAAGTGATAAACAAGTCCAGTGTTAAGTATTCAGTACAACTTGAAGATGGGAAGAATCAGTCAGAAGAAAAGGTAAATCATTGCAAATATGAGTAATTTTAAACCTTATTTGTTCAGCAGGCACTTGTTAAGTGTCCTACGATGTACTAGGCACTGTAGATACAACAGTTAAAAAAGAGGAGTTCTTGCTCTCCAGGAGCTTATAATTTAATTTGGATGCAGGGAAGGGCAAGACAGTGAAATAGGATAGATGTCTACGAAACAAAGTAAGTGCCGTTAGAGAAGTAAGTTCAGAGTGCTCTGGGGACAATTGGAGGGACATCTAACTCAGTTTTTGTGCTATTTCATTTTACTCTTCTGGGTGTTGAGGAGGAGAATCAGGGATATTGGATATCTTTCTGAAGTATGAAAATTATATCTGAGTTGAGATCTATTGGATGATTAGGAGTTGGTCAACCTAGGCTGGATGTGTCCCAGCACTTTGGGAGGCTGAGGTGGGTGGATCACTTGAGTCCAGGAATTTGAGACCAGCTTGGGCAACATAAGGAGATCCTGTCTCTACAAATAGTACCCCCTCCCAAAAAAAAATTAACTGGGCATGTTGGCATGCTCCTGTAGTTCCAGCTATTCAAGAGGCTAAGGCAGGAGGATCACTTCAGCCAAGGAGTTTGAGGCTGCAGTGAGCTGTGATTGCACCACAGCACTCCAGCCTGAGCAACAGAGCAAGACTAATGTCTCTAAAAAAAATAAACCGATTTCCACCTTTAAGGGAGAAGGGGCAGGACATTGAGAAAATTTTCAGATCGGGGAAGAAAGCTTGGAACTTTGGGGTAGTAGAAGCGATAGAAGTTCCGAAAGGCAGGAATATAACATTCACAATGGGTGAGTTATGTGGTATGGGCTAGAGAGGAGATGGAAGAGGCCATATCACCAAAGGCCTTGTGTATGAAAGTGGTGGAGGCAACATAGTGGTTAAGAAAATGAACTTTGGAGTAAACTATGTGTGTTCAAGTCCCAGCCTAACTAAATTTAAACCTAAACTCCCTATAATAAAGTGAAATACTAGGACCTGTCTCTTGGGTTGATGGGACGATTATTTGCCCCTGGGTTTGTAGGATGATTATCTGCCCTTGGAGTAGAGGGAAGAGGCATCTTCCACAGAGAAGAGACTTTTCCCTTCTTCTCTGTAAGTGAATGGAAATTGTATCTCTCAGCAGTAAACAAACTGTGTTCCTTGGATCCCAAAGGCAGGGGTCTGTAAACTTTTGCTCCCTTGCTCTCAAAAGAATTTTGTGAGTCTTTTTGTTATTGTTGTTGTTCTTTTGTATGTTTGAGACAGGCCCTCACTCTGTCACCCAGTCTGGAGTGCAGTGGTGTGATCACAGCTCACTGCAGTCTTTACCTCCTAGACTCAAGTGATCCTCCCACCTCAGCCTCCTGAGTAGCTGAGACTACAGGCACACAGGATCATGCCCAGCTAATTTTTGTATTTTTGGTAGAGACCAGAGTTTCACCATGTTGTCCGGGCTGGTCTCAAACTCCTGGGCTCAAGCAATCCTCCCACCTTGGCCTCCCAAAGTGCTGAGATTACAGGCATAAGCCCCCATACCTGGCCTTCTTGAACTATATATATATTGCCTGACATATTTTAAAGTTGAAATTTAAAATCTTTGTCACAAGTTTAAAAAATTGCAAAGTGGCAGGGTGTGGTGGCTCACGCCTGTAATCTCAGCACTTTGGGAGGCTGAGGCAGGTGGATCACCTGAGGTCAAGAGATCGAGACCATCCTGGCCAACATGGTAAAACTCCATCTCTACTAAATAATACAAAAATTAGCTGGGCATGGTGGCATATGCCTGTAGTCCCAGCTATTTGGGAGGCTGAGGCAGGAGAATTGCTTGAACCCAGGAGGTGGAGGTTGCAGTGAGCTGAGATTGTGCCACTGCACTCCAGCCTGGCACCTGGGGACAGAGCGAGACTCTATCTCAAAAAAAAATTGCAAAGTGCATGATTTCTGCTATATCGTTAATATTGACATTTTTACTGTTACATTACCATTTAAAATATATTCATGGAAATTATTGCACTTTGACAACTTGACATCCACAATCATCACTTTTATTATTATTATTACTATTGTATATTTTTGAGACAGAGTCTTACTCTGTCACCCAGGCTGGAGCATAGTGGCATGATCTTGGCTCACTGCAACCTCCGCCTCCTAGGTTCCAGCAATTCTCCTGCCTCAGCCCCCCAAGCAGCTAGGACTGTAGGCGTGTGCCACCACACCCGGTTAATTTTTGTATTTTTAGTAGAGATGAGGTTTCACCATGTTGGCCAGGCTGATCTTGAACTCTTGACCTCATAATCTGCCAGCCTCGGCCTCCCAAAGTGATGGGATTACAGGCGTGAGCTATTGTACCTGGTCCCCCAAAAAAATCTTAGTAGATAGATTAACAGATTATTGAATAGTTTTGGTGATTTCATTTTCTCTATAAATGGCCTTTATTTGGAAGTTGTAAATTATTAATCTTCTCTTTTATGCACATATGTAACATACTCCTATCCATGACATCTCTCATTACATGCATGATTCACAGAACAGGGGCTGGTTGGAGGCTTTTGAGCTTTTTTTTTTTTTGAGATGGAGTTTTGCTCTTCTAGCCCAGGCTGGAATGCAATGGTGTGATGTTGGCTTACTGCAGCCTCCGCGTCCCAGATTCAAGTGATTTTCTTGCCTCAGCCTCCTGAGTAGCTGGGATTACAGATGCCTGTCACCACACCTGGCTAATTTTTGTATTTTTAGTAGAGACAGGTTTCACTGTGTTGGCCAGGCTTGTCTCAAACTCCTGACCTCAGGTGATTCACCCACCTCAGCCTCCCAAAGTGCTGGGATTACAGACATGAGCCACCATGCCTGGCCAGCTTTTGCGGTCTTGATCCAGATATGCATGCCTACCTTTGTTGAGAAAAATCACTGCTCTAGAAGACATTATATGGTTTCCTTAGAAGGTTTGATCATAGATAATATGAAGATCTTGTATCTGTATTACCTTAGACAAGTTTTATCAAAAATTAGTTTGGTTTATAGCTCTGTCCTATGAGTCCATATTCTAATGAAATATTTTCCATTTTTCTGTAGAATCTTAAATCTTTAGCAAGTCAGACATCAAGAGGTTCCACCAAGCTCTCTCCTCAGGCCTTTGGTGTCAGGCTCACAGATCAGCTGCTGTCAATCGACCAAAAACAGAAGAGCATCAGCTCATTGACTCTTTCCAGTTGTTTAGCTCCACAGTATAATCGAGAGGCTTCCGTTCTACAGAAAAAGGAACATAAAATAATGTATTTCCTAACAGAGAATATAAATAATGAAAATAAAGGAAGCATTAATTTTAAAAGAAAACATATTACATCTAATAATTCATCAGAGAAAATAAGTAAACAAATGGCGTTGGAAGATACTGATGAGGCTGAAGCCTACCTGAATTCTGGGAACTCAGGAGCGTTAAAAAATCATTTTTGTGATATTAGGTATTTGGATGATTGGGCAAAAAGCCAGCTGACTGAAATGCTCAAACAGGCAGCAGCCCTGGTGGTAACTCTAATGTATACTGATGGTTCCACCCAGTTAAGAGCCGACCAGGTTAGTAAACAGTGATGGGTTTTGTTTGTTGTCTTCACACCATAAAAGAAGCCCATTTTCCTAGTGTCTGATTTTGATAGGAGAGCTAAAAACAAAATTTTAAGGCTCTCCCTCCCCTCCAGTGTAAGTGGTTGACAATGTGTACTCCCATCAGTTTTTTAGGAAACTGCGAAACTGTTTTCCAGAGTGGGTGTCCCATTTTACCTTCCACCAGCAGTGTACTAGGGTTTCAGATTCTTCACCTCCTTCTCAACACTTGTCTGTTTTTTGGTTTTAGTCATTCTAGGGATTCCGATGTGGTATTTCATGGTGGTTTTAAATTGTATTTCCCTATTATCTAGTGACATTGAGCATCTTTTCATGTGCTTATTGGCCATTCATATATCTTCTTTGATGAAATGTTTGTTCAGATTTTTTGCCTGTTTTAAAGTTGGGTTATTTGTGTTTTATTCTGGATCTGTAAGCATTCTTTATGTATTCTGACACAAGTGTCTTATAATATGTATCATTCATACTTCTCCCAACCTGTGTCTTATTTTTTCAAAAATTTCTTTAGGGTGGTGGCTTATACCTGTAATTCCAGCACTTTGTGAGGCTAAGGTGGGAAGTTCACCTGATGTCAGGAGTTCAAGACCAGCCTGACTAACATGGAGAAACCCCATCTTACTAAAAACATGCAAAAAATTAGCCGGGCATGGTGGCACATGCCTGTAATCCCAGCTACTTGGGAGGCAAAAGAATCGCTTGAACCCAGGAGGCGGAGCTTACAGTGAGTCGAGATTGTGCCATTGCACTCCAGACTAAGCAACAAAAACGAAACTCCATCTCAAAAAAAAAAAAAAGTTTCTTGAGGGTGTCTTTCAAAGCACAAAAAGTTTTTAATTTGATGATCTCTGTTGATCTTTTAAAATTTGTTCTTCCTTTCTCTCCTTCCTTCCTTTTCTTCCTTTTTCTTTCCCTCCTTTCCTTTCTTCTTCTTTTCTTTTCTTTCTTCCCTTTCCAGACAAGGTCTGGCTCTGTCGCCCAGTACAATGGCATGATCCCAGCTCACTGCAACTTCCACCTCCCAGGCTCAAGCCATCCTCTCACCTCAGCCCCCGGAATAGCTGGGACTAAAGGTGCTCGCCATGATGCTTAGCTAATTTTTGTGCTTTTTGTAGAGATGGGGTTTCCCCGTGTTGCCCAGGCTGGTCTTGAACTCATGAGCTCCAGCGATCTGCCTGCCTTGGCCTCCCAAAGTGCTGGGATTACAGGTGTGAGCCACTGTGCCCAGCGTTATTGTTATTGTGTATAAGAATGCTTTGCTTGTCCCAAGTTATGAAAATTTATTCCTGTTTTATTCTAAGCGGGGTTTTTTGGTTTTTCTTTTTTTTATTGAGATGGAGTTTCTCTCTTGTTGCCCAGGCTGGAGTGCAATGGCACGATCTTGGCTCACTGCAACCTTCACCTCCCGAGTTCAAGCAATTCTCCTGCCTCAGCCTCCTGAGTAGCTGGGATTACAGGTGCCCACCAACACTCCTGACTGATTTTTTGTATTTTTAGTAGAGTCAGGATTTTACCATGTTGGCCAGGCTGGTCTCGAACCCCTGATCTCAGGTAATCCACCCGCCTTGGCCTCCCAAAGTCCTGGGATTACAGGCATGAGCCACTGCTGCCTGGCCTATTCTAAGAGTTTTATGGTTTTAGTTCTTACATTTAGATCTGTGATCCATTTAGAGTTTTTTTGTATATGGGATGAGATAAGGCACAGATTCAACCTTTGCATGTGGCTCTTCAGTTTTCCCAGTACCATTTGTTGAAAAGACTCTTTGTCCATTGAATTTTCTTGACACTTTCATTGAAAATCAGTTGACTATAAATCTAAGGTTTTATTTCTGGACATCCTTTTCATTAGTCTTTGTGTCTAACCTTATGCCACTACCACCCTATCTTGCTTATTAGAGCTTTTTAAAATTCTTTTTAAAAATTTTTTTATTTCCATTGGTTGTTGGGGAACAGGTAGTATTTAGTTACATGAGTAAGTTCTTGAGTGGTGATTTGTGACCACTTGGCGCACCCACCCAAGCAGTATACACTGCACACAATTTGTAGTCTTTTATCCCTCACTCCCTTCCCACCCTTTCCTCCTGAGTCCCCAAAGTCCGTTGTGTCATTCTTACGCCTTTACATCCTCATAGCTTTGCTTCCATTTATGAGTGAGAACATAAATTGTTTGGTTTTCCATTCCTGAGTTACTTCACTTAGAATAATAGTCTCCAGTCTCATCCAGGTCACAGCGAATGCCATTCATTTATTCCCTTTTATGGCTGAGTAGTATTCTATCGTATGTATATACCACAGTGTCTTTATCCATTCCTTGATTGATGGGCATATGGGTTGGTTCCACGTTTTTGCCATTGTGAATTGTGTCACTATAACCATGAGTGTGCAAGTAACTTTTTTGTATAATGACTTGTTTTCCTCTGGGCAGATACCCAGCAGTGGGATTGCCAGATTAAATGGTAGTTCTATTTTTAGTTCTTTAAGGAATCGCCACACTGTTTACCATAGTGGTTGTACTAGTTTACATTACCATCAGTAGTATAGAAATGTTCCCTGTTCACTGCATCCATGCAAATATCTGTTATTTTTTGACTTTGATCATGGCCATTCTTGCAGGAGTAAGGTGGTACCACATTGTGGTTTTGATTTGCATTTCCCTGATCATTAGTCATGTTGAGCATTTTTTTCATGTGTTTGTTGGCTATTTGTATATATTCTTTTGAGAATTGTCTCTTCCTGTCCTTAGCCCACTTTTTGATGGGATTGTTTGTTTTTTTCTTGCTAATTTGTTTGAGTTCATTGTAGATTCTGGATATTAGTCCTTTGTCAGATATATGGGTTTTGAAAATTTTCTCCCACTCTGTGAGTTGTCTGTTTACTCTGCTAACTGTTCCTTTTGCCATGCAAAAGCTCTTTAGTTTAATTAAGCCCCAGCTATTTATCTTTGTTTTTATTGCATTTGCTTTTGGGTTCTTGGTCATGAAATCCTTGCCTAAGCCAGTGTCTAGAAGGGGTTTTCCAAAGTTATCTTCTAGAATTTTTATAGTTTGAGGTCTTAGATGTAAGGATTTAAGTCTTGATCCATCTTGAGCTGATTGTACCTGTCACAAATCTCAACAAATTACTCAGCACCATTTGTTGAATAGAGTGTCTTTTTTCCACTTATGTTTTTGTTTGCTTTGTCAAAGATCAGTTGGCTATAAGTATTTGGGTTTATTTCTCGGTTCTCTATTTGGTTTAATTGGTCTATGTGCCAATTGTTATACCAGTACCTTGCTGTTTTGGTGACAATGGCCTCATAGTATAGTTTGAAATCAGGTACTGTGATGCCTCCAGATTTGTTCTTTTTGCTTAGTCTTGCTTTGGCTATGTGGGCTTTTTTTTAAATTTTAAATATGAATTTTAGGTTTGTTTGTTATAGTTCTGTGAAGAATGATGGTGGTATTTTGATGGGAATTGTACTGAATTTGTAGATTGCTTTTGGCAATATGATCATTTTCTTCCTTCCTTTTTATTTTATATATATATTCTAAGACGGAGTCTCTCTGTCACCTGGCTGGAGTGCAGTGGTGCGTTCTCAGCTCACTGCAACCTTTGACTCCCTGGTTCAAGTGATTCTCTTGCCTCAGCTAATTTTTTTGTATGTTTAGTAGAGATAGGGTTTTACATGTGCTTCCATTTGTTTGTATCATATATGAATTTCTTTCAGCAATGTTTTGTAGTTTTCCATGTAGAGGTCTTTCACCTCCTTGATTAGGTATATTCCTAAGTATTTTAATTTTTTGCAGCTATTGTAAAGGGGTTGAGTTCTTGATTTGATTCTCAGCTTGGGCACTGTTGGTGTATAGAAGGCCTACTGATTTGTGTACTGTAATTCTGTATCCAGAAACTTTGCTGAATTCTTACATCAGTGCTAGGAGCTTTCTGGAGGAGTCTTTGGGATTTTCTAGGTAAACAATCATATCATCAGCAAATAGTGACAGTTTGACTTCCTCTTTATTGATTTGGATGCCCTTTATTTCTTTCTCTTGTCTGACTGCTCTGGCTAGGACTTCATGTACTATGTTGAAGAGAAGTGCTAAGAGTGGGCATTCTTGTCTTGTTCCAGTTCTCATGGGGAATGCTTTCAACTTTCTCCATTCAGTATTATGTTGGCTGTGGGTTTATAATAGATGGCTTTTATTACATTGAGGTATGTCCCTTGCATGCCAGTTTTCCTGAGATTTTTAATCATAAAGGGATGCTGGATTTTGTTGAATGCTTTTTCTGTGTCTATTGAGATGATCATGTGATTTTTGTTTTTAATTGTTTATGTGGTGTATCACATTTATTGACTTGCATATGTTAGACCATCCCTGCATCCCTGGTATGAAACCCCATTTGATCATGGTGAATTATCTTTTTGATATGTTGTTGGGTTTGGTTAGCTAGTATTTTATTAAGGACTTTTGCATATGTGTTCATCAGATATATTGGTCTGTAGTTTTCTTTTTTGATGATGTCCTTTCCTGGTTTTGGTATTAGGGTGATACCGACTTCATAGATTGAGTTAGAAAGGATTCTCTCTTTCTCCATCTAGTAGAATAGTGTCTATAGAATTGGTACTGATTCTTCTTTGAATGTCTGATAGAATTCTGCTGTGAATCTGTCTGATCCTGGACTTTTTTTGTTGATAATTTTTTTATTACCATTTCAATCTCACTGCTTGTTATTGGTTTGTTCAGGACATCTAATTCTTCCTGATTTAAACTAGAAGGGTTGTATCTTTCTGTCTCCTCTAGGTTTTCTAGTTTATGTGTGTAAAGGTGTTCATAGTAGCCTTGAATGATCTTTTGCATTTTTGTGGTATCAGTTGTAATATCTCCCATTTTGTATCTAATTGAGCTTATTTGGATTTTCTCTCTTCTTTTCTTGGCTAATCTTACTAATGGTCTATCAATTTTATTTATCTTTTCAAA